CTACTTGAATCTTCTCATTGATGTTTAGGACTACAATTGATCAGTTTCTATTGGCACATGTGCATACTGTGCGTATTACCTCGATAACGCCGCAATTCACAAGCATCATAAACACAGATAGTGACTAACAGTGGAACCCAGGACGCACGTTTCGTCCTATTTTGAACTCGCCAGCTGGATGTACCTGCATCTTAGATTAGATGTTCACTCTGATCATTTGCAGTCCTAAACATCAATGGTAAGATTCAAGTAAACAATACCACGTGAATTTAAATTTCAACCTATTGCACAAGCAAGTGGCTATCAGGAATCAGTAGCTAAGTGAATAACGCGATGGCGTTTGAAGCTAACGGTACTGGGTTCTAGTCCCAGAGTTAACATCAACTCTGAGGTGCAGATACATCCATCTGCGCGTCCTGGATTCCACTGCTAGCCACTATCCATCTTTAATTATAAGCAATGTGAGAGTTCTAAGTTGCGTTCACTTTCTGGAGAACAATTTTAGTGTCTTATCTTCGTATGCCGGTCGCGATCATCGTCAGGCTCAGATATTCGTACCAGAATTTTAAACAGAATCCAGTCACATCCCAATTTAACATGGAAAGATATCACAAATGAGCGTCGTCACGTTATTAATATTAGAAATAATACTAAGATAATCAAACGTCCAGATCACAATTCTTTTGATTTGACGAAAATTTTTCGTTCAGGTTGCATTAATAATGCTGAAAATCATGATGCACGAAATTGTCCTCGCCTGAATCAAATGTACAATGTCCATGACTATTTCACTTCGCTCTTCAAGGCCGCCCAATAATTGTTGAAACTATGATGCATAGAAGTTCTCCCGTTTCTGTCTATTCGATGAACAGAAATGCACAAAGTTTGGAGTAACTATCCATAAGGAATGATCTTGAGAACGCATCAAACCCTCATCTCATTATCGAATAAAGAAAAGGATCACGTGTGTACATGTGTTGTCGAAATCCAACCTCCAATGCTTACACAAGCATTGATTCATTAATGTCATCGTTTGTATTATCACTTTGCAGTTGAAAAATGAACACGATATCACTTTGATTTCTAACAGAACGCGGCACAAACTTGGTCGACCAAGCATTTATCCTAATAGCGATTGTATACAAAAATGTATCGGGCATCTCAATCAAAATTTCTGGAATCATCGATTGTACTGTCGAATTTAGTGATCTATTAATCAAATCCAAATGCTAAGTTACTGATGAGTCTGTAGTGCCGCACTTTTATCACGAGAACGCGATTGATTTAATGGAAACAATCATTATTATAATCAATTGTACCAGTGATTGTTTTACTGAGCTCGTTTGTTTAACTGTGCTAAAGACAGCCATATTACTGCCTCGGCATCCATTATCTTTCGATCGTGACCTTGCACGGGTTCGGTTACGCTCGGTAACCACGCTTGTATTCCTCTGGCACGATATCGGTAGCCTTTTGATACCACGAGATCGCCAATAAATAGATCTCGACTACAGCCACCAACTGCCTTCTGATATTTGGCTTACGAGGGATTTTATCGGTTAACTGGCACAAAGTCTTCTTGTAGTGGTGTTCATAGTCATTCGCGACTCGACCCACGCTACAAGTCCTTCAAACTATTGGGTCTTGATTGGGTCACAGAATTAAAAAAGCCTGATTAGCCATTTAATTTAATTGGTAATACAAATCCAGTCAATTATGTTCATATCCTCATATGCTACACAAACAAAGGCAAATTGTTTCTAGTGATTTTCAAAATGATAACAAGGTGAGGGCACGACTGACGTAATCGCCATCTAAGGGTGTTTTCTCTGCTAAGTTAATTTTCGGAAGGAAGACTCCGACTTCTTTTGATAGCATATATCCACAAAGAAGAGGACAATATTATAAACCCGAAGTAACGAGAATTCAACATCACTTTTCAATGGTAAACATGTAAACTATATCTGTGATAGATGAATAAACTCAAACAAGGAACCTCTTGGCTCAAACCTGCGATCAGATTATTTAGTTGACACAGTCAGTTTGGAGCATCAGAATAGACGCAGAAGAAATGACGGCCAGACACAAAGCAAATCATGAAGAAGACGAAGTTTCTCTCAATGTCTTCAGTTAAATCCATCAGGCATGACCTATTTCTCTGGAAAAGTTATATGGAGAGCCAATAAAAAATAGCCCTACGAGAAGGTCAATCTACGGCAATCAGAAGTGGCCTAAATGAACAATTGCACTTCATTGCCTGAGGAATGGATGGATTTGCTAAGGATTAGTGATATTTATACGAATTAACACTTGTACATTTTATTCGTAGTCGATTGCACTTTCTTGCTCACTCAAGTGTTCTCTCTCAAATAGTCACTTCGGGGGTTAGCACGTAGCACACCGTGTATCAGTACCATATTTTGGACACTATACGTCACAATACGAATATATCTTTGAATCTGTTTCTTGTATATCACTATTTTTCCAATTCGCCTTTTTGAAATGTTATTCGTTACAAATCTTGAAACTGATTCAATTTATTGGTGTACCTTTTGACGTCAAATTGTCTTCTCTAATGAGTGTATAAATATTCCCTCGGATATGGTCCTTTTGGTATTGAAATTGCATGCGATGTATACCAGCTAACGATTTCTGAAACATACTCTTAGTATTTGAGTAGCGAGAAATCAGCGTTTTTGGCATGGCGACATCAAAAGTGTTCCTGAAGTCCTCATAAAAATCATATAAATGACTGTCGCAATCAGACGAGTCAGTATTGACAGTGATGTGACTCATACATAAGATCTTATATCTAGGTATTCACAACGTGACAACTCAATAATTTTAGATTCGGTCTTCAATTCTAGCAGCGTAGGAATTGCATTATTACCGGCCTATACCTAACTTCAACTAGTCTTAGGGGAGGCAGTACATAGCAGTCCTAAAAGATTAGTACTATTGTGGTGTGTGCTACTGATGTTGACATATATAAGTGATACATATTGAAAATGAAATGCCCGGTGGCAGAGGGCTATTAAAATCGAAGAAAAGAGAACGAGAACAGAAAGTGATTGGTGTGGAAAAGAAGAATCAGTCAGTTCTGAGAAAATTGTTGGACATTTCGCAAATGAAGAATTTACTGTAATGTTCTCAGATTTTAATAAGCGATTCTGTGATTTTGTGTTGAAATACATTTTCGTTGTCACCATTTGTGTTCACGTTCACTACTCTATGTATTGTGTTATAAGCACTTGTGTAAGAGCCATTGGAGGCTTGAAATACGACAATTGTGGTGGTCGGTATTCAATATAATCCTTAAACTTCGTATACAAATCGTCTTGATAACCGTCACTTGATAACGCCCCAACGGTATGTTAATCAGAATGCGATTACGAAGTGCTGATTTCGTTTATTATGGGACCGCGCAAAGATATCCCAAATCACAGGAACGTTAAGCCTGCATGATAGAGCTGTGCCGAAAAGCGAGCAGGCAAGCGAACTAGCGAGCGAGTCAGCGAATACGAGTACGAGTAAGCGAGTACAGATAAGCGAGAGAACAATGAACATGAATAACATGGACATATATATACATAATGAAATGAATGAATCATCGATTCTATTAAGCGACTGGTAGTAAGGCTAGCAGAGTGAATATATGCGTAGGCAGTAAGCAACGTTCAAGCATACATGTTCATCCATTCGCGACGATAATAAAGATACAATGATAGAGATAAGTTGTTGTCAATTCGTTGATAAGTTAGCAAAATGACTTAGTCAATTGCACGCTAGTCGCTATACAATGAGATCAAGGTTTTTGTTATCAAGTTCGGTGACTGGCGTCAATTAAAAAAGCATCCTGTTTTTCACATTCATAGCGTAATGAAGACAACTGTCTTGATGGTTGTAGCTGGAGACTGCGGCAGTCACAGACCATCGGCTATGGAGTTTCTCCGGCTTCTAAAAAAAGACTGGTATGACAATGTTCACCATATGACGTTGATGTTTATTCTGATGTGATACTGACTAAAGTTAGGACAGCCGGTGCTGGTCTTACCAAATGACAATTTTATGCTGTATATATACGTTTGATTTGTGCCTGTCGTTATTGTTCGTGCTCCTGACTGCTTGCGGAATATATTTCACCTTTTCGAACTTGGACTTCTCTCCCTGGTTAGCGGGGCTGGGACGCGTCATAATAGCTAGCTTATCTATCATTGTGTCACAGAATCTTCTTTCTGTTCTCAGATTAGCTGAACTCATAATCGCTTCAAAAATGACATGGTACAAGCAATCTGACAAGCTAACCCAATGTACCAGAATATTCTCAATCATTCACAATCCATGCAAACTATGGCAGTGTGAAATAAATCAAACTTTCAGTGCGAGTTTAGAAGTGCCAATAATTTGAAAATTGAGCTTTAAATAAAATGTTTTTGCCTAAGTGAGGTGAATGAATAACCCTATACATAACGTTGAAGCTTCTGTTGGGTATAAATTGTATTTTCTATTCAACAATCTGTAACTTTGCAGCTCACATATATTTCTTTGGGCACGTTATTACGAATTAGGAGCGAGCGGATGTATGGCCAAATTTTTAAAAGGTTAAAAGCCATTTATTACTGGGACAACGACTGGTTTCGGGTCGAAATCAGATTATTCGTAAGGAAAAAAAACTTATGACTCCCCACAGCAATACATCGCATTTGGTATAAAACTAACCACACTTGTCTCACATTATCCTTCCGTCTAGGACTGATAATCTGAGACAGTATCCCAAGAAACTTCACAAACCAAAATCAAACCGCTTAAGTCAGGAGTTCCATTTCTTCCACCGAGTAGAGAATTACTAGAGCACATAATATTAGCACCTTCTGTTGATATATTCGAAGCGAGATTGGATTTTTATCGTACTACAAGTCGCAAAGTTTAATATAAATTGATTGACTTCTATCCTTTCTACCGAAAACTGACTGAGGTGATCGGATATTGGACACAAAGTATTGCTTCGCGGTGTATATTTGACACAAACGTTACCTCAAGTGATAAGGTGACTTTCTCTTCAGGAGTAAAGTCGGTTTGTGAGTACTCGTATATTTCCTGTGCTTTATCCTTACTTCTCTAAGAAACCTTTCTTCGTTTTTGGCAAATTTTTAGTCTTTTTACTTTGATGATGCATGTCGAATTGAAACCAACTGATTTTAGTAATTAAAATTCCGGGTTGTTTAGTTTCGCTAGAATAAGGCCTGGAGTAAATACTTCTAAATTATTCGTCAAGTCGTCTCTTATTCGACCCTTTGTATTTGGTTTGAGTCTGATTTCTATTTTACAGTGCGATACCCGATCTCCCTGTTGTGGAGAAACTTTGAGGAATTTTGAGTTTTCTCCGAATTCGTGAGAAGTTTGGTATTTTTTTCTAATTTTTTGGAAATTACTAAGAAAAACCCCAAAGTGTTATAAAATTATAGGGAAATTTTGGGAAAAACTCGAAGTGTCCCCAAAACTTTGGGTTTTTTCCCCAGACCTAGTGGTATTTTGGTTTTTTTTTTCCATTTCCCTAGAGCTTTCTTTTACGGTTTCCTCAAGATTTACTCAAAACGAAAAAAACTTTCTTCGAAATAGGGGGATTGGGTAAATAACCTATTTCACTCTAGGAAATTACTTCGTCATAATGACTTATTTAAAAGGTTTTGCATTGTGGTGTACTGAGATCTTTATCAGTCGGGTCTACCATGATGTTCAATTGTAGACGGACACATCTGCCAAGAGTTGGTTACTAGTTAAATAAAGTTGTGATTGACATTTTCTACCAATAAGCAAAAAGTCAATAATCGCTTTGACCATGTGTACAGTGAACCTCTTGATCCGTGTCAAAGGTCAGAAATTTCTTTTCAAACGAGACTTAATTTGAGTTGTCATAGTACTGCGTAAACACTGATAACTCGGTCTGTAAGACCTGACGCTCAAGTTGCCAGCTCTAAAATAACTCAGCGAGATGAAATCATTCTAACATGTCCTAGAGTAATAGGAGTAATAACAGTACAAATAGTAGTAGAAAATATTAAGTGCGGAAGAAGCGGGAAAGGCATAATATTAGTTTTAGAACCCAGGCTCTAAAAGGAAACAAAGAGTGAATCCTCCTGAATCCTAATAGCTATGTTTTGCGCTCAGTAAGTAAAATGGCAAACTGCGCAGAAACACCACAAGAGTGATTCACATTCTCTAAATTGGTTCCCGTGACTTCTGACCTTTATAAATTATAACCTGATAAGTGGCGGCAGGTGGATAATATGCTGGTGAGCGGATGTAAGATAGCGACCCTCAGAGTTTTAGGCAAAGTTTAAAACTTGGTGACCGACAGCTTGTGCTTTACTGAGAGTTCGGTGTAACATGTAATACTTAGTTACTGAATCGCTTAATTTGATAAATATGGAGACGAATTCGAGCATCTCTTAAGTTAGCCTTGGGAAAGTGGTTGGTTTCTCACCAATTGTTGAGTAAGCAACAAATAAAATTTAACTATATGTAATATGATTTATGGATTTTTTAAGGTGGATAAAAGGTACTTGAGATTCTAAGTAAGAGAACTGCATAAATATCCATTCATATGGCTACATGTCATTTCCATACTCTGGACGTAACTCTCAATCTAAGTGTTCTCGGGTTTTACTGCATTCATCTTTACCAGTTGCACTCTGTTTGTTTAGAAATTAACTCTACTTTCGCAGGATTATTGTAAAAGTCACTGAAAGTCTTCAAGGAAGTATACTTTTACAGAGATTTTCGTAGGTGTTGTTACCTCCGTATCTGATACATATAATTAGTGTCTATCGATAGGGATAAAGTTACCCTTATGCCCTAGACCAGCAATCCAGTGTTCAAATCAGCTCAGAAGTTATAAACATGATCTTCCGGTATCACGTCATAGTATTGCGTAGTGTGAGTAGGGTAGCACTACGTCACCGGCTACCATGGGACTGGATTTCCTACGTTGCTCAACTGCCTTATGGATTAAACATTTAGGTCGAAGGCTCCGGATTTGACCCCTTAAAAAGACCACCTATCTCGGTTTTGGCTCCTGTGCACTATTCCAGCTCCCACAAATCGAATGACGAGGTGTGGCGCATATATATTCGGTGCCGCCTCGTACCAATGCTTGTGTTGAAATAAATAAATTTTATCACCTACTATCCCTAAGCAAGCAAGTATTCTGTTCATTAAGGCAAATTATTTACGATTTCTAGGTGTTATGATTGTTTGTGAACAGTTAAGTCGGATTCTAAAACGCTACTTGCACTGATATTGCTCATTTATAATGTTTCTCCGAAAAGAATGAAAACGAATTTAAGCCCATATTACTCTGAAGGTACTTCGGTTATCAAAATTGTTAGTCGAATATAATCCACGATTTGTACCATCCGTTTCCTCGAAAATAAAAAGTATACACATTTGTGATATCAATTAGATTTAAACTCAGTATTTTGCAGTAGTTTAAGCATAGATTTATCCGTAATCATATTAATATCGCATTCTATTGTGTATTAGTGATGGGTCAAAAAGTGTTAATAGCTGTTTAAGCTTTTTTTAAAATTCTTGACTGAATCTGTTGATCGTGAGGTTCCATGGCAGTTTTTGTCACTGAAAGGAGTACCAGAGAAGTACATTAACCTTACAAAGACTCTCTACTCGAACACAACTGGTCGAGTGAGAGCTTATGGCGAACTGTCATCAGAATTGATTACCTCAAGTGGTGTTCGTCAGGGCTGCCCACTCTCTCCATTCTTGTTCAACTTTGTCATTGACGTACTTTTAGAGATAACACTTTCCTCATTTAAATTTCCAGTAGTTGAACTTCTACCAGGTGATTCACTTGTTGACTTGGAATATGCCGATGACATAGTTCTATTTGGTGAAGACGCTGACAAAATGCAGAGTCTTCTGACCACTCTAAGCAACAATGCAAGCATGTTCGGGATGCGATTCTCCCCCTCGAAATGCAAAATGTTGCTTCAGGATTGGGTTGCATCGACACCCGAACTAATGATAGGGAGTGAAGTAGTTGAGCGTGTCGACCGCTCCACTTATCTGGGAAGTCTCATCGGCCCTTGTGGCCTGGTGTGTGACGAAGTCTCAGCACGGATCCAGAAGGCTTGACTAGCTTTTGCCAACTTGCGTCATTTATGGCGTAGGCGAGATATCCGTCTATCAACCGAAGGACGTGTTTACTGCGCAGTTCGTTCTGTCCTACTTTATGGCAGTGAAACATGGCCGGTAAGAGTAGAGGATATTCGTAGGTTACTAGTATTCGATCATAGGTGTCTTCGAAACATTGCTCGTATATCCTGGGACCATGGAGTAAGTAACGCAGTTGTTAGGAAACGAGTACTAGATAAGGATGGAAAATTGATTGATGAAGTAGTGAAACTTCATCAGTTGAGATGGCTGAGACATGTGTTACGTATGCCCAACGACCGACTGCCTCGACGTGCGATGTTCAGTGGTATAGGAGTAGGTTGGAAGTAAGCTAGGGGCAGCCAGACCAAAACATGGCACAAGTCCATGAAGTCACTGACAAGTGGACTGAGTCATGTTGGTAGGTGTAGACTACCTGGTTGGGGACCGCGAGATGATAGCAACCGATGGTTAGAGACCCTGAATGACATGACTCAAAATCGTTTGCAGTGGTGCAGGTGCATCCACTCTTTATGTTCTCCCAAATTCTAATCTCCTGATTCCTCCTTGTCTCTTTTTTTCTCTTCCCAAATTTATTTCACTGGATTATACTCTTTGAATAACATCTCCAAACCCTAATCTTTCCGATTACTGTTTGTGCTCTTACTACCTCTACCACTACGGGATTTGGATCGACTACTCCATCTCTGTGCTAATGTGGTATGGCAACTCGAACTGATGTACGTACGTACGAAGTTCTGCGTTGTTACTGACTGACTGACTGACTTGTTTCTCCTTACAGCTTGTCACTGACTTGTCACTTGCCCTTCTCTCTAATGATCTGAACACTGATGTCCTCTTTTAATTTTACCGTTATGTTTCTAGACAGATAAGTGTCATTGATGAGCATCATATGTTCTCTGTTGTCATTATCATTACCACGATTTACAGCCATCTCAAACATTTGACTGATGCGAATTAAAATAATTTGATTGTTTCCCCTAGGGCTTGTAATCGTCATAAATGGAAACAAATATGTGTGGCGCATATGTATTCGGTGCCCCTTTGTACCAATATTTGTGTCCAAATAAAATAAATAACAATGTGTCGATTGATTCTGTTATACATCGCTTTTCTTACGGTTATGACCCAGCTATTCCTATTGCTTAGTATCCTTGGACACCGATTCACTCGACAAGACCCCAAATCAGAACACGGTTGAACAGGAAAGAGATTATATTCCAAATAGCAAGTCAGAAGCAAGCCAGAAGCACAATAGAGAAAACGTCAGTATATTTATAGTTTTCACATGAGAAGATTCTAGGATATTCTCCAACTATCGACTAGTGCTGATTGGATACGAATTAGCCAATCAGCGTGCACCAAAGCAATCGTGAATCGAGCATGCTTTAATCCGGTCTATGTCCCGCTAACACCTCCCCTTTGAGCAGATTCGTAGGATCTGGTGCTAGGGTCCAACTGCAACCGAGTGACTGGTCTGTGCTTTCGATTAGTTCATCGTCTAGGCAATAAAGAATTATCACTTTTTTTCTTGCACAGATACTGACATGTCTGTTCCCGGCGTTTCGATTTTTTTAAAAATAAAAGTATGCATAACTTTTAATTCTCCAACATTCTCCTCCTCCGCGAAACAATGTCGGATCCTTATATCTCCAAGTTACAAATAATAGGACTTTATTTAAACGATGTTTCTTGCATTGAATGTCGGATCCACTAGAAATGACTAGATGATAATGCACGACCTTTGATTTGAGGTCAGAGTTTAATTCTTCTGAAGCATTACTTTCAAATCCATTAGAAATTTCATCAGTGCATAATGGATCATTACGGAAATCAACATCTAACAAAATTGAATTAGACTTTTGACCATAATTTGACTCAGCCGACATATTTTCCCCATTTTTATAAGAAATTTCATCAAAATTACATGCATTATTCTGAGAACCCATATCTGATACATTGTCATTAGAAATCGGATAAGCTGATTCAATATAAATTTCTGTCTCACAATGATTTTGAGTAACATTCGGTATAATTGGGTTCATCGTGTCACTGCAGTTATTTTCTGAATACGAGTCCCCATAGCTTTCTCGGCTGATATCGCATGGACCATAATTCTGTTCTAGCTGAAATTTATTTTCAGAGCTAGACAGGACCAGTAGTGTTTCACTCAATTCTGGACTCCATGCTTCATCTACAGCGTCTGGCTCTTGATCATCTCGTATTGCCACAACTTTATGAGCATTCAGCATAGTATTTTCTTGCTGTGAGCCGGACACGTTACAAATATTACGTTCTGATTCAGGTATAAAGGGATTTGAACCCTCCACTAGATATGCTTCTGAAATGTCTGTTACTGCATCATAAACAGATTTCTTATTTTCTGGTCGAGTGAAAAGTGTGCTCAATAGTTGTTGTTGCAAGGCTAACAACTTCTGCTGGTGCTGTAATACTAACCGCAACTGTTCTAAAGAAATTGCCATTTTTCTTTAGTTTTCCCCCGTCGCCACTGTTATAAATCGCTTTTCTTACGGTTATGACCCAGCTATTCCTATTGCTTAGTATCCTTGGACACCGATTCACTCGACAAGACCCCAAATCAGAACACGGTTGAACAGGAAAGAGATTATATTCCAAATAGCAAGTCAGAAGCAAGCCAGAAGCACAATAGAGAAAACGTCAGTATATTTATAGTTTTCACATGAGAAGATTCTAGGATATTCTCCAACTATCGACTAGTGCTGATTGGATACGAATTAGCCAATCAGCGTGCACCAAAGCAATCGTGAATCGAGCATGCTTTAATCCGGTCTATGTCCTGCTAACAGATTCAAATAAATCTATAGAACTCCACTATTCAATTTTTGGTTAAAAGTTAATATTTATTGCCATCTGCCTTATTTCAGATATGATGTCAGCCTATATTGGTACATTAATTAACTCCATTACATACGTAGATATCTCAATGCAATACTATCCTGGCAGTGAATACCAACTATGCATACTGTTCCGTATTAGATATCTTAGATATACCCTCAACTTTTTCATTTTCTTAGATGCTTTCCTGTTCTGTACGGATAAATGCGGTCAAAGTCTCAACTTCTGTTCCAAAAGAGTACGATAATCTCCTACGATCATTTTCAAATTCAGTGTTTGGTTGTTGTTGGTTCCCGCCAGTTTAAATAATATCCTCTATCATTATTTCCTTGATTACTAACCCAAAATTAATTACCGTTAGGACTTAGTTACATTTATTAGTATTCATAGCGATTAATTGATGTATCATTTTAAAAATACTTATCAAATTATGGTTTAGTATCCTTATTAAGGTATGTTATCTCTTTACTACAATGACCACCTCTGTATTCGTAAGTTTGTAGAACAACTGCAATTTTTCTAGAATGACACTTTTAAGACATATTCATGCTACCGGAACTTGTATTTCAGCATTGTCAGTCAGTTAATCATTATCAACTTGTGACCTATCACAAATGTCGTCACACTGAACTGGGAAGTCAAGTCGAAGTAAGAAGTACGAATATTAAGGTAATCGAAGTAGTCGTTGTATCGGCGATAATAACAAGACATACAAGACCATATATTAGGATTCGCTCTTTGACATAGTCTGGTGAAAATGATTCAGTGGAATTTTATGGATAACTCTAAACGCTAAATTTTTTATCGACGTAATGACCAGTATCCACTAAATGAGCGAAGATAGAGCTTCTTACTACTTTCTTGTGTCAACCATAGTGTATGATGTTCAGAAATACGATAATGCCTAGTTCCTATGCGTCTATTTGTATTTACCATTTCAACTGCTCTTGCGGAGCTAGTTATATTGAACTTGCAACCAGACAAAGACATCATTGTATTTCCGAACATCATACCTCATGGTTGACAAAAGAAAGTAGTAAGAAGTTCCATCTTGGCCCATTTAGTAGATACTGGTCATCATATCGATAAAAAAGTTAGCGTTTAGAGTTATCAATAAAATTCCACTGAAATTACCCTAGGGTTCCAGAATTCGGCTCTCATAAAAATAATAAGCCAAGGGAATACATATCAAAATACCTAAACTTTGTATACAGAAAAGGTCTATACAACCTCTGAATGTACCCTGGGTTTCCACTTAGATATTATTACGTTTCTCAAAACTTTCTCTTTTAAAATTTTTCAAACTTCAGTTTTGTTAACATTTTAATTTTTATCCTAATCTTGCGTAACTTGTTTAATAGTCTTACTACCTAATTTTGGTTGCACCTGTCTTATTAATTACTGGCATAAAGCTACGTTGGATACATGAACATCTTGACCATCTTCATCAGATTATCTCATTGTGAATCTCGACATAGGATTCTGTCTTGTCCATGTACGTCGCTCTTCGGCGATCTAAGACAAGTCCTGTAATCAAAGTCTTTGATCTCAAACTAGTGGAACGGGATTTGAGTAACGTGTCATACCATTATCGTTCAAACTCTTGCCATCGAGAATTATTTTCTCTGAGTAATAGCGTATTACTATTTTGTCTTGCTTTCTTCAAAACTCTTCAGTGAAAGACGTTAGTGACAAAACTAGAATGAAATTATAAGATTACGCAACCACACTTCTGGTTTGGAACGATGAAAAATTTAGTTTGTATGTACGTTCTTTGAGTCAGTTGTTTTCCGTATACAGTTTGCTTAATGTTAATAAATCCTAGATAGTCCTCTCTAATAAGCGATTCCAGATCACAGTCCTTTTTAACTAATTTAAGGTATCCATGATATCAGGGGATAAAATGATTATTAGCAGACAGTTAGTGAAACTATTCAGAACTTTCGCAGTGTGCAGCTATCAATAAAAAAATCTGGATTCATACGTTTTGCATAAACTCTAAAGTATGACAAACAGGGGTCCTTTACTGTTTACGACCAAAATATGTATTTATAAACTTTTCACAGCCCCTAAATACCTTAAATCGTTTTTGAAAATTTTAGCAGCCTACCCTTCGATGAACGTGAAATACTGTTTCTCCTATAGCATGTATTCTTTCGTCTGGTTGTTGCGTTATTTTGACTGATAAACACCAATCAATAAAAGGTTCGTGTTGTTCTATGTCTGATCGAGATCAGTACCACATGTTCTGTAACTTCTAACTTTCTGTGTAATTTTTTGTTTTATCAGGTAAATTTCCCCTTTGAAGTTTGGATGTTGTGATACTTGTTTCCAACATATGACCACAAAAATTGCAACAGTAGCCAACTTGGCTTTTCATGCATTTCAACAGCACTCAGTACGTGCTACATTGGGCCCAGCATCAGCTAATATTAACAATGGGATGGGGGATTCTCATCCTTGTACAAATGGCAATTCTCCAACACATTCTGATAAACCCGTTTCCCCAACTCTTCCGGTAAAACATAAACATTTATCGGAATCTTTATGTCGTTTGCTAGCATGTGTTCGCTCTCTTACTCCAAAAGATGTTGGGTTTGATGTTCGATGGATCTCTGATTCAAATATATCATCTGCTCCAGTCGCTTATGTGCATATTATGGAAAATGAAGTATTTTCCATGGGTATTTTTATTTTGAAACCTGGCTCTCGTATACCCTTACATGATCATCCGGGAATGTATGGAATTTTAAAAGTTTTAACGGGTTCTGTACGATGTCGTAGTTTCACACGATTGAAAAATGTCAAATCAACAACAGATTTAGGAAATTATAAACCATCGTTATCGGTTTTTGATGATTCAAAATGGCAATTGACCGACTTAATCATTGCTCGACCACATCAAGATACAGTCCTATCTCCGGACCATCAACCTTGTTTGCTTTTTCCAATTGAAGGTAATTTACATGAAATTACTCCAGTTGATGGCCCGGCAGTTTTTCTCGATATACTAGCTCCTCCATATGATCATGATTTAGGAACCAGAGAATGTCGATTTTATAAAGAAGTCATCATACCACAAATGAACTCTAATTCACTATTATCACAGAACAACTTGCATAATAACAATAATAATGAAGAACTCTCATCTTCAGCTGATTCTTCAGATCCTGATCAATGCACAAATCAGTCAGAAAAAGATTCAATTGTTTATTTGGTTGAAACAAACCAACCATCAGATTATTGGTGTGAATCTGCGGAATATAATGGACCTAGTGTAGTTTAGTATTACTGAAGAGTGTTTTTTGTTAGAAAGAAAATTTTGAATTTTTTCCCGTGGTTCTTTAATTCTACTACATCAGCTTATCACATTCACTATTTCTAAGAACTTACTAACCTCATTATTATTATTATTTATCGTTAATGATTCATTCTCGCGGCATTTTACACTGATCATCCAATTTTGAATATTTCACTCTCCCTGCTTCTGTTACTCTCTATTCCTTTTCTCTTTCTTTACTTATGTGATAATAAAATCAGTTTATAATTTGATGTACAAATTCACTTCGCCTCGTTTTCATCATAATACTGGGCAGTCCAGTATTCTGCATTACTTTTCACACATCCGTATACCCATTCTCTTTTTTGCGATGTCTTTTCGGTTAATACCGCCATGTTTAGTTTATTCTTGCTTTTGTTTACATTTTAAGTATTTAAAGAAATCTGTGTCCTTGGTGTTGTTATTATTATTATTATTGTGGTTTTTCATGGTGAAAACAAAACACAGAGAAAATCATTGTACATGCACCCCTGTTATTCATACTCTCATAGCATCATTCTGCTGAAGTTATTTCCTTGATTGATGACTATACTAGTGTTGTTAGTAGTGGCAATCTATTCATCAGAGTATTGGTTCATGCGTACAATCTAATGTTTTGCTGCCTTTGTTTTTCTCCATGTACCCCCTAATGTTTTATTTCCTGTATGTGATTTTTGTGGTCATATCCAGTCATAGTACTTTTCTTTGTAGTGATAGTAGTAGTGGTAGCAGTATCGATAATAATAATAATCAACTTAAAAGTTATCCCTTCCATATTTATCTCATTTCGTTACTGAGTGCGAAAACACTATCTGTACTATACACCTATAAATATGCATAAATTTATGTAACAATTTAAAAACAATACATACTTCATACATTATCAAGGCTGAAATTAAAAAAAGAGAATATTATGTTGATTCATGTATATTTCAACGATTTTTAGGTACTACACTTGCTTGTATCTATATTATTTACTGTAATGAAGATATATGCATACATAAATGTTCTTTTACGTGTTAGTGTATACAATTTCTGCACTTATAGTGGTCTCTTGTTTACTTTATAGCTGAAAACTTAAAGTACTGAAGTATTAAGATGTTTCTAGTTGATATTGACAGTAAGCTAAGTTTTACTGTTTATAATACTGTTAAGATTTTCATCAGGGACAACTATAGCGTACAGAGGCAATCCCGCTATTGTAAGTCTACTGTTCAGTAAACCTAAAATATTCAACCTGAACCAATCAGGATATATATATATGGAATTTTCTAAAGTATTAATTCCGTGAGGACATGAATAATGAATAAAAATGATACTGTAATCGAAAGATCACAATGCTAGGGTTATGTAGTGTAAATAATAAATGGATTTGTGACGTATACAGGGTCTGTGCAAATAAAAAGCCAACAGTTGATTCTAGTATGAATGGATTAAGATAATTAAAACTTTTTTGTTACAATAATTAAAGGTATTGGAGAAATTCAATGAAGTGAGGTGGTTTCAGGAACGATTAAGAGTAAGATCGATGGGATATAAGAGATAATTAGAGGGACATTTCCAAAAAAAGAAATCAAACTAAAATGGTAGTATTAAAATGATACTTTGAGGATAAACTACGTCATCTGTTCTCCTCTATGTATTTGCTAGTTTATCTGCTCTTGTAGAACATAGTATACAGGCATTAGTCAGGTGGTTGTTTCCAGCGTGGATGCGAGAACATTATGCAGTTTGGTTTCACAAAGGTGAATGGAAAACGATGAATTTTACCCTTGAATATTTAGTCGAATGTAATCACTCTACTGATGTTGATTTTAAGATTGTTTTCAGAATTAGTCCAAATCTACCAGGATTTCTTCGTATTTAACTCCTTGAAACACCAAAAGCTCTTATTCATGAAATAATGCATAAAATATCTATTACAAATGAAGCATTTTATACTTATTCCTACAATGGCCTTAAACTATTATTGCCATTATTATTATTATTATATGACTGTATCATTTGACAAGTACGTCTTACTTACGTGTTCATGTTCTAAAAAATGCATCAATCCGGAATCCGCATGAATTTTTCACTTATTTACGTTATATTTCTCGTTAAACTATGAAATTGGGTTTCCTCATCATTGGAAGCTGACTCAGTGGTCTCGAGATTAGGCGTTCGGGCGTGACATCGATAGTGTTAGGTTCTATCCCAGGTGGAATTGTGGGTGCGCACTGCCGAGAATTCCCATCCTAAGAAGAAACAGGGGTTCAGCACTACCTAGTTTTCAGTAGTGGTCTAACTATAATCACGTTTGTGATTTAACCTATGGAAATCTCACAACCTCTTCAAATCCGTTTAGTACTGAAATATGAAATTTAGATTTAATAAGGATTTAAGATTATGTCTTGTGAGTTAAATTTAATTATTACAGTAATAACTCATAACTTGTGTCAGTATACTAGAAGTTTCAATCATCTAAACTCCGTTATATCGATAGTTTTTGAGTTTAATTTTTAATCTTGCACAGTATAACCACATTGTTGGATATCATCCAAAATCTCTTTCAGATATCAGTAAATGACATGAATTACAGTGTTGAGATGGTAGATGACCGGCGGGATGTTTCCAATACCATTTAGAAATTAGATAATAATATTCACATTAATACTTTTAAACACTGAATAGACTATTGCTTAATTACTCAACTCTGTTTTATTAGTATGCACACGTTTTACGGATTTCATAATAACCATGAAACAGACGACTATTATAAACAAAGTGAACCATTCAACAGTAAGACATCGTTTAATAAGTAGTATCAAACAGTTCATTATCCTTAAGAATTAAATTAGAATAAGAATAACTATTGAAGTAGAATGCTATGATAGTACTACTATGATGAATTCTTACCAAATGTCTACAAATCTAATTAAATTTAAAAAAATATATTAGTCGGTTTGATATTACGGTAATCAACCGTGACCATTTGCTATGATCAAGAGTACTAGTGAGTTTACATGTAAGAACATTCGTAGAGTGCTTTGAATAATAACAGTTCTTTCTAGTTATAGCCGCCACAGCTGTTTTAATTAATATTAAACGTAGGGTGGCAAAGTTAAGAAATCAGTTGCAATAACAACGTTCCAATTATTATCTATATTATTTTATTTCTTGAGCAAGGTACCCTTATTAATTTCCATCCTTTGATGACTAACTGCTCCAAAATATTTAAATTATTTGGAATCGAAAAGTTTGCAAGGTAAGTTACGCAGTTATCGTAAAAGAACATTCCACACAATCTACACAAGCTTAAGGGAATAGATGACTGAAAATGACACAATGAATATATGGACAATTTTTGAAGTGAAGATAGAAATAATAAAATAAATGGTTAGAGATTTGTTTTGATATAACAGTGATAGATTGACAATTGATTCCATAATGAGATGGCTATCAATTGAATGTCGTGTGATTGAGTTAATAAATCATTTGAAATCCTTAAGTATCATTTCGTTTTTGAACTATTCTCTGATGTAAATAAGCATCACAATTGCCTAGATAAGATCCTCGAACTTACGTGACTCAACCGAAAGAGAAATTAGTACAAACGATATTTCAAGAAAATAACAAACTGTAATTGTGTATGAGTTTCTATTAGATAAAACAACCTCGAAATCTAGATCAAGCTTAACTTCCCATTAGTTCACTTTAATCATTTGAACCAAACAAACATACTCATTATTAATAAAGCACTAATGAGTGAGCTAATAAAATTAGTTACATGAAATGTTACGTGCAATTGGTTTTAGTAAATTTAAAAAGTGCAACATCTACTTAGTTTTAAACGAAATCAACGAACTTGTATTATTTTATAATGAACATTGTAATTCGTATGCTTTAAGTCATTCACATACGAACTGATTTGTATGAATAAATAACAGGTTGTACAATTATAATTTTATGTAAAACGTTTGCTAGTCAAAAAAAGTAATTATGAACAATTTCTATATTCGTACCAGTCCAATCACTCTTGATGGCGAAACTCTGGAAGATGTAGAATCCTTCACACAACTGGGAAGCATCATCGATGAACAAGGAAGTTCAGATGCAGACGTAAAGGCGAGGATTGGCAAAGCAAGGACAGCATTCCTACAGTTGATGAACATATGGAACTCAAAACAACTTTCAACCAATATCAAAGACAGAATCTTCAATAGGAATGTTAAGACAGTTCTACTGTACGGAGCTGAAACTTGGAGAACTACAACAACCATCATCAAGAAGGTGCAAGTATTTATGAATAGCTGTCTACGCAAGATACTCAACATCCATTGGCCAGATACCATCAGCAACAGCCTTTTGTGGGAGAGAACAAATCAGCTTCCAGCTGAAGAAGAAATTAGGAAAAGACGATGGAAATGGATAGGACATACACTACGCAAATCGTCAAACTGCATCACGAGACAAGTCCCAACTTGGAATCCTGAAGGAAGGCGGAAAAGAGGAAGTCCAAAGAACACATTACGTCGGGAAATAAAAGCAGATATGGAAAGGATGAATAAGAACTGGAAGGAGCTAGAAAGTATTGCCCAGGACAGGGTTGGATGGAGAATGCTGGTGAGCGGTCGATGTTCCTTCACGAGGAGTAACAGGCGTAAGTAAGTAAGTCTATATTCGTACAAGTTTACGTTCCATCACCTTGGTCATTTTTCCTACCGTAATCATAAAAATTTGCACATATTTCCGATATACGATAACGTCATGATTTGTCGTTTAATTCCTTCATCCAAATATTGAAGTTGTATGAATACAGGGAGTGTTCTTACTTATTTATTTTACTTGGTGAACTAAATGAATTTTTTACATACTATACATGAAATTATAATTGTTAAATATTTTACTTATCCATAATAATCAGTTCAAATGTGAATGAGTTACAGAACATGAAATACAATGAATTCACTTCCACAATGTCCGTTATTCTTGCTTTGTAAGTTTGTCAAGAAAGCCAGCCGCTTGAAATAACATATATTACTTGCTCGATAAACTTTGTTACTCAGTACATGACTGAGATCATTTCATCGTCATTGTATATTAAAGACAACCTGTTGAAAACTCAGTATAATAACTAATCAGTCCGTTTGTCCTACTTTACACCATCATAAAACATTAACAAAATAAATACAACCAGTGATTGCGTAAGTAACAATGAATTAAAAACAGCGAAAAACGCTTACAACCTGGATCAGCTTGACAGAGTCTGAATCATGTTATTGAAAGTCTTCAACCACTTTATTTTGACAACTATACAATCTCACTTGAAACATAAGAGGAGGGTTCAACTAGGAAACCGAAATTGCAATGCAAAGCTATTTTGTCTTAGTCGAAGATCCATCAAAAAACACACTTAATATCTCAAACCCAATTTAATTACATGACTCGCCATCTAG